CTGAAGCTCGAAAAAAACTTGATGGTTTGTATTCGACTGAAATTATATATATATATATATAACGATTTATTGTATGTATTCATAGAAATCATAAATGAATTAAAAGATGCTGATGATCTTGAAACAACATTTCGTCGTATTGCAAAAGATAAAAGTGATTGTAGCTCTGGTCAACGTGGAGGTAAAATTTTTTTTTAGAGTTTTTTTTGCTTTTCTATGAATTATATTTAATATCGTTTATTTTTAAAGGTGATCTTGGTATGTTTGGTCGTGGTGCAATGCAAAAAGCATTTGAAGAAGTTTCATTTGCATTAGATGTCAATGAAATGAGCGATGTTGTCGATTCAGATTCGGGTCTACATGTTATTTTACGCATTGCCTAGAAGAAAAACAAAACTAGTTTCTGTTTTATTCTATTAAAACACTATCTTAACTCTTATTGTATTTGCTCATACTTGTCTTTAATATAGAAGTTCATTGTTAACAACAATGAATGAAAATTAATCGTTTCTTAAGAATATCTACAAGAAAAAAAAAAAAAAAAACTCTTGTAATTATTGCTCGTATTTTAACATCATAATTCATTGTCTTGAATGTGTCATATACTATCTATTCAAACATATTTTCTTATTATACAGAATGACATGTTTTTCATGTCTCATGATGGGTAAGACCTAAATATAATGAGACAAATTACAAACAAGCAACATTGTAATCTTCATATACATATTCATTTTTTCAGCTACATTATCTACGTGTATTTTTTCATGTCTTGAAAAACCTAAAATAGAATCATCTATTATCAACAATAACAAACCACAATAATTAAAAAAAGAAGAATTCATTGTACAAACTTGATTGAAACGTACTTGGTAAATATTATCAATATTTATATATATAGATATAAATACAAGAAAACAAAGAAGTATCGTCCGAAAGTAGAACGCATTGTTTTTGTTTGAATAGTTGTTGTTGATTGCTACTATGCTCTTATTGTTCTATTTTTAACTCATTATTTCCTTGTCATAATCATCCCCATGTATTTGACCCACAAAAAAAAACAAGAAAAGAATATATAGATATATATACCATCGACACAACTGTAGACATTTATTTTCAACAGTATAACAAACGGCATAGAAGAAAAATCGATAAAAATAATGTCATCTCAAAGCGTTCCGATTCATCGTCCGCGTAATAATTCATTAACTAGCAGTAGTAATAAAAATGATACTTCATTTGATGCATTTAATTATGCTCCTGGTCAAGATCAACATATTCGATGGTTAAGTCGTCCAAGTCTAACATTAACACAAGAAAAATATTTTCATGATGCAGAAAAATTTCGTATTACATTTGATGTTGAAAATTTTCAACCAGAACAAATTAAAGTAAGTCAAGAAGAAGAAGAAAAAAAAAACATAGGAAAATTTTTTTTTATTTCATTTCTATTTTTCTTAGATCTATATTCAAAATCATAAATTAACAATAACAGGTGTTTATGAAGAACGTAGTGAAGGACTTTATACACAAAAACAATTTGAAAAATCATTTGATTTACCATATAATGCTGATGTTAATGCTATGGCATCATTTATAACACCAGCTCATATGTTAGTTGTTGAAATTCCTCTTAATCCAAATTTTCAACAACAACAATTACCATCCATAGATCATTTAAATATTAATCAAAATATAAATGATCAACGTCGTTTATCATTTTCATTAAATAAATTTAATACATTATATAATCAAGGCTTATTATCTACATCAAATAATATATCTAGTTTACCACCGCAAGGTCAACAAGTACGAAGAACATCAATGTCAAAAACAACAACAACAACAACATCAACTGGGTCAACAGGGCTTCCAGCTGAAGCAACAGAACTACTTCGTAGTGCTGATTTAACAACGGGCAATACACAAGCATCTAATATACATATAACTGAACGACGTTTCTCAAATACAGGTAATCAACCAATAACAATTAATGAACCTACTCCATCAACAACAACAAAAACAACAACTTCAACATTATCAAGTTCGTATAAGATTAAAAATGAAATTTTCTTGTTAGAGAAACTCTTTATTTATGGTAGGTTTGGCTGATTTACCAATTGAAATTCCACCAGAATTATTAGCTACTGGTGGTACAATAACAATTCAAAAACGAAAAGTTTCTGTAACAAAAACAACCGATCCAAGTCTTGGTCAAACTATATCAGTGCCAATAGCAAGTAACAAAGATACAAGTTCATCATTATCTACAACTTCAAATACATCGACACAATCAACAATACAACAATCGAATACTAATCAAAGACGTGGTTCACAAGTATTTGAAAGAACATTGTTTTTTTTTTTTTTTAAATTTTATTATTTTTATATTTTTATTTTAGACAATTACTACTAATCAACGACATATGTTTACACTTGAAGAATTTCTTCAAAATAAAACTTGGAATCCATCAATTGTTAATGGTGAAAATGGCAAAGAAATTCTTCATATGCGTTTAGAAATGAAACCAGGTACAAAAGCTGATCAAATAAAAGTTACACTTAATGGACATAATTTACGTGTCAATATTGAAAATAAAATATTAACAAGTACTGGTCAATTTATGAGTATGTATATGTTTTGTTTTGTTTTGTTTTTTAATCTATTTTCGATCTTCTTTTTTTTTTCACTTGATTTCTAGCTGAACAAAGTTATCGTCAAGTAAATTTATTTCCTTCATGTGAAGTTGATCAATTAAAAACAGAATTAAAAAGTGATGGTTTTCTTCATATTCAAGTACCTATCAAATTATAATCGAACTACATTTATTTTATTAGAGCTGCTTTATTTTTTTATATATATGCACCCCGCAATGCTATTTAACCTATATTAAACACTATGAATAAATATATTGTTACCTTGCAAATAACATATTTTAATAAAATAAAAAAAAAAAAAAAAACACACGAAGAAAAGTTCCCTACTGTTCTATGCCATTTTTTATTCATATTTTATATGTGAAAACCTCATTCTAAGCAACAAAACTATTCTATTTTCTCACAAGTTACAAATTGTATAGCATGAATAGAATTAGATATGAATAAGACTAAGAAAGTCCTAAAAGAATATTTATTCAAGATCTTCTAATAGAAAATTACAACTCTTTTACAAAGTTGTGGACTCGATATGGTACAATAGAAATGCGGTATTGAGATAATGACATTGGTTAATGTTAGTATTAACATTACTTAATACTAAATACCATTCAATTAGAACATCGGTTAATACCAAATGGCATTGGTATGTAATATGCCTATTTTGGAACTATAACCAGGTTTTTTTTCTCTAGCAGATGGATATCGTTATTGACTTAGAATATCTTGAAAGTTTCAATTAAATTAAATTATTTATTTTCCTTGTTAGAGTAGCTCTGTTATGAGTTATATTGATATGAGTTTCCTCTTAATATGAGAGTAAAAATATTCATATCTATTGAAAGAAATCACATCAAACCAAAAAATTTTTAAACTATTTCTTAGAATAAGATCTCTCATATATATGCAAGTAAAATATTAGTGAAAACTGCATAGATTAATTGAGAACTTTTCCTCGTCAGTGTCTTTATTATTTTATACGTAGATAATACATGAAATTTATTTTATACAATGGTCTTTAAATCTTTGGAAAGGACAGGAAAAAATTTTCTTATTGACAGTTCTACATACAGACGTAATGCATCTATTAATTATACCTTAAACGTTGTCACTGTATTGTCATATTAATTCCATGATTTTCCAGATGTTTAAAACGCTAAATCATGTACAAAACAATTTAGCTAAAACCTTTTGACACTAAGCAAAAGTTCATTATAAGGTATGTATTTTTTCCCGTTACACTGATTAACTTATGAGTAATCGAATACTGTGTCACGACCGGAAAATAAGACAAGATGTTTATTATTGTTTCTTCGAGATAATAATACGATATATCATATTTTCTTAGGGGAACGTTTGTTTACATTAATAGATTTCTTTATGCGTCATTCTGATATTTATATGTCTTTTTATCAAGAAAGAAAAAGTTTCTCTCTTGTTGAAATCAGAAGTTAAAATATCCATAAGAAAAATCTTTTTCAACAAAAGAATTTAACGATAATTCTATGAACTTATCCTCTACAATAGAGAAATGAAACAAACAAAAATATTTTCCTTTATATTAGGGTTAAGAAGTGCAATGGAATTTTAGTTTGTACAGAAAAAAAACTATTGATATGCCAGAAATTCATTGATGAATAATCATTGTAATAGTATTGATTGTATTGTTTACATAACATCAATAGATCTATTGAGACAATTTTTGTCTATTATGATTGATCTTATTTGCAAGTCTAAAAAAAGAAACGGTCTATTATTGTTCTTAATTAGATTGATTCTATTAATATATTCTTATTCATAAATTCGATTATTATACATTTCATTTTATTTACAGTTCAATAATTCCTTTGATTAAGACTATAGATTTTGTTATGATTTTATAAATATTTTCTGCATATTCAATTGTTATTCAATTATGATTGTAAATATTTTCTAATTTTTAATGTTCAAATTAATAGAACATATTATTCTAATTAATTAATTTGATTTGATAAGAAAATATAAATGTACAACTCTCTATCTTGAATGCCATCTTTCGACTTTTTTGTTTTTTCATTGGTTAATGATACACGTATTGAAAAAAAAAGAAAATCAAACAGCCTCTTTCGACTCACACATATGGTGGCTGTTGATATAACTGATTGATTGAGTATAACAAACAGGCTCGCTGACCCGTACATCATATTGAACATTTGCTTCTCAATCGATTAATAATTTTTTTTTTTCTTCTTCTGTTCAGATTTTTTATCCACACTTATGAATCTGTTCATTCATCGTTTAATACCTACCATATCAACATGTTCACCGTTCTTACTACGGCGTCGTCTTGCTCATTTTACCTTTTTCAAAGATCAGCCAGATCCATCTCATGGTTAGCTATAATGCTATTTATTTTTTTCCTGAACATAAAAAGTTAAAACTATGTTTTCTAAGGTCCAACAAAAGAAATGAATCTATGTCAAACAATTCAAAATACGCTTGATAGCACACTTAGAAATGATGATACTGCTAGTATGCTTGAGTTTTTATAATAATAACTATTATTATTTTATTATGATTAATTTATATATTTGAGTTATATTCGGTGAAGATGTTGCATTTGGTGGTGTTTTTCGATGTACAGCAGATTTAAGATCAAAATACGGTACAAAGAAGAAAAGAAAATCATGTTTTGTTTATAAATTTTATTCATATTTTAGGCGCTGATCGTGTATTTAATACACCATTATGTGAACAAGGTATAATTGGTTTTGGAATAGGTGCAGCCGTTGCTGGAACAACAGCTATTGCTGAAATTCAATTTGCTGATTATATCTTTCCAGCATATGATCAAGTAATAAATAAATCATAAACGTATCAGATATTGTATTTATTTGTTTTTTTTTTGATTATGTAGATTGTAAATGAAGCAGCTAAATATCGATATCGTTCACAGAATTTATTTAATTGTGGTCGTCTTACAATTCGTACACCATGGGGTGCAGTTGGACATGGTGCACTCTATCATTCACAATCACCTGAAGCACAATTTATGCATACACCTGGCATTAAAGTAAGGATGTTTATTTTATTCTTTTATGATTAAGATACATATACAGTATGATAAGATATGAGCAAGATAGTCGTGTAAATCTTGTCTTAAATGTCATATTCTTATGACTCATATGTTCGAAAAGTTTATGTAAAAACTATTGAGTAACGATCACTTTAATATTTATTCTTACAAACTGAATAGTAAAATTAATCATCTATTTTTGTCAAAAATAGAGTTGTAGAATAGACAAAGTATTAGTGAAATAAAAATAGTATTGAATTTCCAAGAGGAAGGATATTAGACCTCATGTGGATCGTGCAAGACGCCTGGAACTCGTTAACATTGATGGAAAATGATATCGCATTTTATGCTAGTACATATAGTACTAAGCGGAAAACCAGAACTAAAAAACTGTTTTGACTGGAACCAAAAATGATTGGTTCTGCTCATCATTAAGGGTTGTCTATAATAACAATATAGACTTGAAGAATAAATTGCTATGTTTTAATGTTGAAGATGGTTCTAACAGATTCATATGTGTATATACATTCGTCTTTTGACGCATATATATTCTATCGTGTGTGTCGTTGTACAATGCTGCCGATATAGATATTTGTCTTTTCTTAAGTACAAGGAAATGAAAACGACAGTTACTTTGACTATTCTTACTGGTGCTTGATTTTGTAGAGATTTAGAAATTTTAGATTCATGTTATTATTTGTAAGGTTATAGAGTTCTGACGGAAACAACTCGGAAGTCGGCTCTATCATGGAACAAAAATTAGTTTCATAAAGTAGATATATTCTAATTTTTTTCCGGAACGCTACTTATAGATTACCGTGTATATATATATATATATATATCGGCGATTTTTATTTAGGTCGTTATTCCACGTAGTGCAATTCAAGCTAAAGGATTACTTTTATCCTGTATTAAAGATGATAATCCATGCATATTTTTTGAACCGAAAATTCTCTATCGATCTGCTAAAGAAGATGTACCACTCAAAGAATATACTATTCCTTTATCTAAAGCTCAAGTTATATCCGAAGGTACAATGTTTGTTTTTTATACATCGTATAAAGATCTTTTTTGTTGTTGTTGTTGTCTTAATTTCAGGTTCTGATGTGACACTTGTTTCATGGGGAACTCAAGTTCATGTTATGCGTGAAGTAGCACAAATGGCAGCGAAAGAAAATATATCTTGTGAAGTAATTGATTTACGAACCATTCTACCATGGGATATTGATACAATATGTCAGTCCGTGAGTAAAACAGGTCGATTACTTATAAGCCACGAAGCACCAATAACTGGTGGTGTTGGTGCTGAAATTGCTGCTACTGTTTCTGTATGTATCTTTATTGTTTTATTTAAATGAAATATTAAAACTTTTATTATTATAGAAAGAATGTTTCTTAAATCTTGAAGCACCAATAGAACGTATATGTGGTTATGATATTCATCCAATTCCACATGTTTTTGAACCATTTTATTTCCCATCTAAATGGCGTTGTTTGGAAGCTATCAAGCGTATGCTAAATTTTTGAACCATATTAAAAATTTTCTTTTTTTATATTATTTCATGAAAAAGAAAAAAAAATCACACATAAGCATTTGGTTTTAAGTTTTTAACATATATATTTTGTTTAAAAAGAAAAAAATAAATAGATTTATTATATCCTTTTAAATTAGATCTTTATTTGTTTATTTTTTCAGATTAATTCGATTATTAGCTAATTAATCAATTATCAAATATTTTATGTAATTACTTCAAAATTTATGTATAAGTATGATGAATTTTTGTTTAATGTCTTTATTGAAAAGAAAAACTTTACATAGGAATGATGGTTCAACCTGGTAGGAAAGGGAATTGATACCCTCTTAATCAAGAAAAAATTTTTGTTTTCTCCCGGGAAGTCAAGAATATTTCGTGTATTCTCTCTGACAAAACATGTTTACAACCTCCAAAAAATTGCAACGCTCCCTATCTCACCAATGCTGACTGTCGCCGTGGGCTAGCTCTGACTTCATCTAATATTATTAGCTTTTTATTTTGTATATAAATTTCATAAATTATGTAGAATAATAATAAAACTATTTACGAATAGATAGTCAATACTATCAGATACTGATTGTTTCTATAGCTTGGTTACGAGTAAAGTTTTCATCTTTTTTTTTTAATGCATGAAACTGAAATATAGAAATTAGAATTATTTGGAATAGATTCTGTATCTTATTTATTATATACTCCAGATGTTTTCATTAAAAACATCTCTTCATTAGAATACACTATCATGCATAGTTGTGCATATCAACAAAAACATAATTTTCTATTTACAAGACATTTTAAATCTCTATATAGAAATGTCATAAGAAAAAACTGTTAAGATTTCTCAATTTCATAAATACATATTCGTTTTACGAATATGTATTGTCAAATAACTATTTACAATAGAGAATATTCTCTCGTTAGTCAATCAATGCCATTTTAAACAGTAAATATTAGTGAATGAGTATGTAAGTCTCGTTTATCTCATATTTCTTTCGAGAAAAAAAAATATTTGATAAGATTTTATCAGCAATACCTTCATTGAATCCTTCGATTATTTCACGATTTCAAGTAAGAATATGAATGAGACTAATAATGTAATACAAGATATTCTATCTACAATTTGTATAATAAAGTCTCGTTTTTTGTCATTGAAATGGAAATAATAATTATTATTTCAAATATTATTCAATCTGTGATATATGTGTGTCTTATTACCAATGCAATTTGTTTTTTTTTTTCTTGTGTTCTTCTCATTTGTCTAGTAATCGAAAAATCTTATCCGCTCTTTTGTTGTTTATATGTTCTCATGCAGACAACAACAAAAAAAAAGAAGAAGAAAAAGAGGATGTTCCCCTCCTACTATTTTTCATCTAATTTTCTTTCTTTTTTTCATCATTCTTTTTCTATTCATTCTTGTTAGATTTTTGTTTCATCTAAATGATGATAATGTGCATTTTTTTTTTCTGTTGTCGATAGTCTTATATGCCGATTATTTTCTTTTTTTCTATAATCATAACAAAAACTCACAATAACAATGATCCATCAATTAAGTGAGTTTTTATTATGTAATGGAATTCTTAACCATATACCTTTAAGTATATTATTCTGTAAGTTGTATCTTTAACCCAAATAGATTTCAAGAAGCTCGATATTATAAATAATGTCCATCAAGTACACGTCTAATTGCTTTAGTGAACATTTCTTTATTTTTTTTTTTCGATCGGCCCCTTTTCTCATGACCCGATATAAAAAGGTGTTCTCTCTCTCTCCCTCTCTCTTACTCGGATTGATTGGAATAAAAAAGTAACAACGTCTCTTTGTCTTGCTTCTCTCTCTTTCTATTCAAATAGATTTTCTCCATTAAGTCAGCGAGATAGACATTTTTTACTTCGTCTCTCTTTCTCTTTGTTGGTACCAGCCATTTACCGATGTGTCGATATATATATATATATAAATGTGTGCATGTTGTTTCTTCTCTTGTGTAACACACGAGAACTGCTCATTGAATTTCTCCATTCTTGATATTATTTTTTAATTTCTTTTCTTTCTTACTGTGTGAAACACGCAGTCAATGATAGAAGCCAGTCAAGATGAGAGCGAGAGTAAAATTACTATCTGTTGGTCATTGAACACGCAATATATATCCACTCTGTAATTCTCTTTTTCCGTTTCGTGCTTTTACTCCCATCGTTCTCTTTTTCTATGTTGATGAAGTTTAAACCCGGTTGTGATACTTGGCGAGATTAGTTTCATTCATTCACTTTCTTATTTTTTTTTTGTGTGATGAATAATAAAAAATGGATAATGCCTGTCTGTCCATTCCATATATACATACATATAAATGCAAGATTTTCGCTTGTGCAAAAATGCGAATATATTGGAATGGCATCATCAACATCATTAACCCTATTAGATAGAGAAAAAAGAATTGAGTAGAATATAAAAGGAAAAAAAAACTCCGAACAAACACAAGGCAAAGTAAAACGATAACTTATAATAATGTATTAGATGCAGAATGTGTCTCGTTCTTATTATTTTTTTATTCTTTACTTTTTCTTTTCCTTTCATTTTCTACTATTACTTCTATACTCTCATTTTTCTTTTTTCGTCATTGTTACGAACATTACTAGTTACCACAAGTTGTCCACGTGTTCTTATTGTACTGGTCTATTTTTTTTTCAAATTAAAAGAAAAAGAATCTTTTTTAAGTATTTCTTTCTTTACAATTGTTCATTTCACATCTTATTAAGTATTAGTTAAAAAGTTAATTTGATCAATTTATCGTATGATTGAATATGAGTAAGACAAGATAGGAAGTCGCAAACAATTAAAATCAACTTCATCATTCTTTTTTTTTTTTTCTTTTTTTATGCCATAATCTAACATTATCCCGAAGGACTATGTTAAAGAAAGTACTCAACCACTTTCTTCGAAAGTATATTTCATTTAATCCGTTCCTTTTTTTTTCTTTAGCCACTTCGTCACACATATGTGAATGAATGGTTGCAACTGAATAGATAATTGACGAAATGGAACATCAACATCATCAAACTGTTAATGATAAGAACAATGTTGATGATAAAGAATTCGTCATTAATTATGAAAATATTCTTGAACACTCAACTGGTGATACTATTGAAGAAGGTTTGAATAATATTATAAAAATCATGTATGAAACAAAAAAAAAACAACAGAAATTTTCATTTATATTTTTAGATATTCAGGAATTATCTAAAACACCAATTCCCGAAATAATTAATGATGAAAATGAAAATATTGATACAAACGAATATTTAAAATCACAAGTAATAATCTATTGAAATCGATTAAAAAAAAACAAAATAGAACAAAGTCTATTTGACTTCTTCTTTTTTTTTTTTTTTTTTTTTTTCGAAATCAAAAAATAGAAAATTAGATATTAGTTTGTTGCTATAAGATAGTAAATAAATCAAATAAAAATATAATTTATATTTTGAGAAAATTTTACGGTTGATTGTCAAAATATTTCGCATTGGTATTTTTCTTTTTGTTATTGCTTGTGTTCATCAATTAGTGTCGATTCGATGAATATATTGGACGCATACGCATGTCTACACATCTGTCTATCTATCGTTTCCCTATTTCTACATATTCATTGCCGCCTTATGTCCAGCTCTTCAAACTAATCTATTGTCCTTGCTATTGGCAGTATTATTAAAAAAAAAAAAAAAGGAAAAAACGAAGAATGTCATTCTCATTGACGAATGATAAGTAGAGAAAAATATTCTACTTCCGCCGTTGTCTGTTGTGTTCCTCATTTAGTATTGGAATTGTTCAAAATATTGCTGATCTTCTATGTTAATCGCGTGTCATTCATTTTCCCCCTTTCGTTGTCTTTTTTTTTCTTTTCTGTCTTTTTTGACGCCGCTATCGTATTGTGTTCAATGATGATGAGGACATGAACTTTTTTTTTAGCATATAGATTGGCGAAAAGAATTCATCGTCTGATTGATCCATCTCTTAGTTGACGTTGTTTCTATCTCTTTCTTTGGCACTTGCTACTCGTCACTCGCATTCAAAGTTCCATTGCTTTCGATGTCTCTTACGAAGTTTTTTTTTTTTTTTTTTTCTCGTTTTTCTTTCCCATCCTTTATATTGACAGATGGGATAGGATAGTTTCCAAGCATAGAAGAAAGAGAAAAGGAAGATACAGAAAGATAGAGAAAGAGAGGAAAAGACGAAGAACAAGCCAGTGAGAAATAGAAAAGATAGGCATAAATGAGAAATGAGATTGATAGAGCGAACGAACTATATGTTTTGGCATTGAGACAGCAGTCTAGTATTACTTTCCATCCATTTTTTTTTCCACTACAACGATAATAATACAAGCAGCGATATCTTGAGGTTCTATGAGTCAATACAAATAAGATATGCCTTCCTTATCATCAACTAATTCTAATTCTACAACTACGGCGGGGACAAAATCTCGTCGAAAACATCATCATCATCATCATCATCGTCATACCCAACGTCATGTGAGTTTTTTGTTTTTCTTCTATTTCGATTCTTTAAACTGAGAAAGTATTTCTCAATAATAACAAGCTACTAACTTATTCAAACTAAATAATAAAAAAAAAATTAATCTCTATGCAATTGAAAAGATGAATCGATTTTGTCTGTCTTCTTGAAAAGAGAGAACACAACAAGTGTATATAGTCAACCCATCCTTCTAATTGCATGTGTTGATCGTTGTATAGACGCGTCGACCCAAGAGTGTTCTCTCTCACTTCACCATCTATCCATCTATTGTTAAGACTAAACTATGCGACTTCTGTCTGTGTAATTCTCATAATTGCCTCATTGCTTTTGTTTGCTTTTTTTTCTTTTTTTTTTTTGACCAGACATTATAATTTTTGAGAAAAATGATAGACATATACATGTGGAGGTAGAAGTTGATGTAGTATGAGCAATAAAGAACAAAATGTCATCAATACTATTAACGATTCAAGGCTCTTA